GGCTAAAAAATCACGAGGTTTGCCAACCATGCTGTTGTGATTAGCTTCTAAATGGCGCTTCAATTTACTTAAAAGCATACAATCTGTTGACAAAACCTTCATACAAAATACACATGGTGGTCTCTCTTCACCATTAATTTTTGTTGACGTAAAACCAAACTCAAAATAACTGTCATCATATTTACGATATTTTCGTTTCTTCACACTACTGCCACTGGTTAAAGGCATACTTTCTTTATCTGCACTATTAAGTTAATAACTGTTCAAAAATCGGTCCACTATGAAAGATACAAGAGCCAAAAATCACAAAATTATTTATCTAAGACAACAAACAAGAAGTAAGATAACACTAACTTAATTACAATATGAATTCATTTACTAATTTATTTATATATGAAGCACTGAGTTTAACTTCAATAGACTCAGATTATAAGTCGACTGACTGAATCGAGCCGGCAACGCTTGCTTATATACATTCCGCAAGATCTTCCAGAACATTCCAAATTTGTCGTAAAGGTTCTACGTACCTCGACGTGTCTAGTGCGATCATATGGTGCGATCAAGAATATTCAGCGTTTTATCTCACGTTTTTGTTTAGTTAGGCCAAATGACTGAATTAAATTAATTATGAAGCTTTTACAATATTTCGCGGCGCCCCTGTAAAGGGGCCGTGGCTCCCTAAGGCACCCCGGCGCATAGTTCGAGAATCACTGGCGACTCAATTTGTCTGCTTGGTGATGGTTCTAACTTCACTCGCACTCGTCGAACATGTTAGAATAAGATCGAGTGAAAGTGTTGAGTGAAGAGATTCGAAGGTCGGTTCCACCAGAAGACGACGGTGGATTCCTCTTGACCAGCTGTCGATTAGCTTTACTGGAAGATTCATGTTGACGCTGTTTCCGAGGCAATCCCCTTCGATTCCGATGAAAAGCTGCTAAGCTTTCATCCGTCATATGACGGACATCATCAGAGCGAAGTATCACCGTCACAACAAAATTCATGTTAACGAGTCAAGAAAACTCACACTCACATAAAGTGAAGTTGACACAGGACCTTTACTAACCAAAATACTTTATACTTGATCAAGATGTAGAGTATATATACCACTTTTTAGGGATTTGCCGGTGAGTTTTCTTGACTCGTTAGCCTGAATTTTGTTGTGACGATGTTACCTCCCTCTGATGATGCCCGTCGTATGACGGACGAAAGCTTAGCACCTTTTCATCGGACTCGAAGAAGATTGCCTCAGAAACAGCGTCACCATAAATGTTCCATTAAAGCCAATCGACAGCTGGTCAAGAGGAATCCGCAGTCGTCTTCTGTTGGAACCGACCTTACAATCTCTTCACCCATCACTTACACTCGAAGTGGAAGTAAGCTCAACAATTATGAAACAAGAGAGTCCTCGAAACCCAACATTTCTTCGCATATACTA